TATTTCATAAAAATTAAGTGTTTGAAACTAATTTAAGTGACTTTCGCCTCAAGTCAAGCCTTTTTTTCCCTCAAATTTAAATTTATTCTTGTATAAATTGATGTTAACCTAATAAATATGTTTAATTAATAAATTATTTAGCATATCTTTATAAATTAATGGATTGCATTTGTGTTTCTATGCGTTTCCATATTTTTTCTGCGTTTCCATTGCGTTTCCGAAATGTTTCCGAAACGTTTCTATTTTTGAGTTGACCGAAACGGTACTTCGAAACGAAATTTTGATCCTTGGTCTCACCATGAGTGGGGGGCTTATAAGCCATAAGGAGAGATCCACATGTCACAAGGTTAATGATCATTGTGGTTGAAGAAGTTCTACCCAAGTTGGTTTAGTTGTCGAATGCCACGTGTTGGCAATCGTGGGAGTGTTATGTGGCCATGAAGACCATGCACTTACAGTGTTCTAATTTGATAGTATTTTAATTCCAAATGTTGTCTCTATAGACAAATTACGGACGTCACTTTTTGGGTGACTTCTACTCCTTTTACCCCATCTGTGCTTACTTTTTAATGGACAATTCCTTAATAATGAGTTGAAATCTTTTAGAAGTGGACTATTTTGTGCAAAATCAAAGCAACCAAGCAGTCCTAAAAGATGTCAACCCACAGGGCATAGGATAAGAATGCTTTAGTTTTAATTCCTTTAGCTTAGTTGTCTTTATTTAGTTATTACTCTCTCCTCTATTCACCTTTCTTGTTCAATCCAAAAACAAATAAAAAATGTTAAGCTAATTTTTTTGTTGTCGTGAAAGGATAGCTGCATTAAGTGCGAAGACATATGCAACTCATCGCGGAGCCGCTTTTTCGAGTTTACAAGGTGAAGGAGCAAGAACTTACCCCGTATCGAAACAAAAAAGATTCCGAGCACGTCTTGTCAAAGTCTGTCTTGTCTTTACCATGAGTCAAGTCAATTCACTAATTTGTTGTTTCAACAAGTAGTGATAAATGCTTCTGCTTTATAGCTTCAGAATATGGGTGTGAATATGAGAACAGCCATGTCGTGAAAATAATGCTAAGGGTACCCATGATTGTTCTCTAAACTGGTTTATATTGGTGTCAGTTATTCAGTATAATTAGTTTGGTGCATGTTTACATTTCTGTTCAGCACTGACGAAGCTAGTAATTTTGTAGGGATTAGATGGTTTGAGAATTGATAGACAATGAAATGCATGAGTAGTTTGGACTCTAGACCAACCTTTTTGCCTTGTAGCATCCATCTTCTTTGTTGCCAAATTTATGCGATTGGTCAAAGTTGCGACTCTAAACCACTTTTTATCCTAATAGATTCTTCCATAGCATTTATTGATAATCCTTTCTTCAGAGGGAATGGGCAGGCGTATGGAAGCACTATAGCTTTTTACAATATTTATTTTGACTTTACTTTGCATCTCCAGTGCTCTTGTTATTCTCTGCTTTTCTTGTCCTATTGATTCTTTTTAGCAGGAAAGTTCTTTATTTTGTAGTTATTAAACTCCAGAATGCTTGTTTTATAAGGCCTACGCTTAGTAGCATCCTCAAAATAACATCTTGGGATTATTCTTAGCTAGCTTTTTTATACAAGTGGAATCTGTGGTTTCAGCCTGTAGATTCTTTAGTCCAGTGATTCCAGTGAAGTCTGTAAAAAATTTGATTTTTTTCCCTTTAAATCAGTCTATAACCTGAAAGTTTACAAACACTAAATCAACTGTGTGCTCAATAGCCAGGGATGTGTTTCTTATGCTATCCTCTTATGAGATACTTACCATTGAAATGTCACCAGATTCATCATCCCCAAATGATGGGCATGGCACCTGCTCGAGTGCCACTTCCTGCTGAATTTCCTCAAGACGAACCCATATTTGTCAATGCAAAGCAGTACCGTGCCATTCTGCGGCGGAGACAGTATCGTGCCAAACTAGAGGCTCAAAACAAGCTCTCAAAAGTTCGAAAGGTATGTGCTTTATAGATTCAGCTTGTCTGTCTTGTTTTGTGGCCTCTGATCAGAGTGTGCCACACTATGGTATGGCATGGTGCAGTGTCTCTGAGCTTAAAAGCATTATTCAATAATTCTTCTTGGTTCAAAATTTGTTCAGCCTTATCTCCACGAGTCCCGGCATATTCATGCATTGAAGAGGGCTAGGGGATCTGGTGGACGCTTTCTCAATATGAAGAAACGCCAAGGGTCCAAGCCTACTGCCACGGCCAATGAACAAGACGTCTCAGGTTCAACTCAGCTCCATTTGACCACAAAAATGTCGGAATCTGGAGTTTACCCGCCAGAAAACTACAAAGAAAGTACTTGCACCACCTCACGGTCTGATATCACGAGTACCTCCAACAATGACCACATCTTTCACCAGCAAGAACTCAGGTTCTCTGTCTATCCTTCTCATATTGGAGGGCCCATGCAAGGTGGTGGAGGTGGTTTGTCTGGAGGGAATCATCACTCACTTTCAGTCTTCCGGTGAGAGATGAGGCAAAAAAGAATTGAGGCAGTAGCCGTTGCTTGGCGTTCGATCCAAGAACATGGTTGCTGGTGCAAAAGGGAAGTCATCCTTGGCTACTTAGCATTGTAGTGCGTTATTGCCTCCTAGGAAAGATTGTCAATAACATAATAACATGGTTTTTGCTGGAGGCTGGTTTTAAGTTTGATTGTGAAAAACAAGTGTGATAATTAGGATTAATGACGATTCTGTTTTATGCTTTGCATTATGGAAAAATCAAGCATGGTCTATTATTGGCTATTATGCAAACTCAAGCATGATCGATGATTGGCTATTATGCAAAATCAAGCACAATTAGGTGTGATTATGTTAAGGATGTTTCACCTTGGGGGCACCTTCTCTCTCTCTCTCTCTCTCACACACACAAACACACACACCCCAAAAAAAAAAGGAAGGGCCACTTCCACTCAGAGGTAGTTGTGAGTATCAATCTCATCACCTCCCACTTTTCCCTCCCCTCCCTCATAAAAATTAATTTGAGATACTGAGCTGTGCTCCAATACATTGCTTTTTATAAACTTTTTAAAATAGTAAATTATGTTCAACACCAAAACTCTGGACTGCACAACTTGGTAGAACTCATTTCTTCATGTCCAAAAGAATCCAACAGACTCGCAAATGTGGAAGCAAATTCTGAAATGCAGACCCTTAATTGAACGTGGTGTTGCTATGTTGTGGGAGATGGTAAATCCATTAATAAATGGACTGAACCTTGGGTCCCAAAACTTTTTCCCTCCTTCAAAATGCAGCTGGAATATGAAGCTGAATCCCTTCCAATTATGGTTGAAGAACTCATCATTCGAGACAGAGGTTCTTGGAATACATCACTGCTACAATCTTTGTTCAATGAAATGGATTCCCTCAACTGATGGCACATTTACAACTCGATCAGCTTACCAAACACTTAAAGAGTAGACCAAATAATATCAGTCACTTTCTAAATTCAGCAAATTGGAAATTGTTGTGGAAGGCCCCAATTCACGAAAAATTCAAAATGATCGTATGGCGCACCATCACTGAGAGTCTACCTACCAAAAGTCTCCTGGCAAGTAGGTTTTTCATTCAAGATTTCCTATGCCCATTCTGCATGCAAATCATTGAAACAGAATTACATCTGTTTTTTCTCTGTCCCTTGGCACGTATGATCTGGTTCAGTAAATGGGGTATACGTATAGATCAATTTCCTAATCTGTCAACTCAGGAATGGATGCATAACATCCTACATCCAACACTTCTCTTTGGTCCCAAAAGCGCTCAGTCCAATGGCATTCTCCTTTTCACAGCAACTACCTTCACTGTCATATGAAACAAGAGGAATAAAATCCTCCACCACCATATACATATTCATCCCCAAGAGATCCTAGAGGAAGTGCTAAAACTGTTCAATGAACACCTTACATTACATCCCTCAAACAGCTCAAAGTGATTAATTGCAAAAATCATATGCCTTGTAAATTGATTCAACCCTCACAAGGTGGTCTTAAAATAAAATTTGATGCAACCACAAGGAAGGACAGGATATGCATTGCAAATGCAGCAATTATTAGAGACTTCACAGGCAGCGTTATTGAAGAAAAGCTGAAAATCCACCAAACAGAAGAACCTCTTGTGGCTGCGGCAATGGCTGCAAGACTCGCTGCTTTATGGGCACACAACAAGGGCTTGAACTATGTGACCTTGCAGGGGGGTTCGCAAGCTGTAATCCATGCCGTAGTTCTAGAGGCCGTCAAACCCCATTGGTCCCATCTCCACACTAATTTCAGACATACAATTTTTACTTGCAATGCATAGAGACTGGGGAATGGAGCATACCCCAAGGGAAGCATACTGCTTGGCTCACGGGGAGCTCCCTGAAATGGCTAGGAATGCACTGGCTCTAGATAGTCTAATCTATCAGTCTACTGATAGTTTACTTTTCCCTTGTTTTTATTTGTCTGATTTTCCTTAAGGATAGAATGACCAAATTAAAACTCGATTATAACTTTTAAGGATGTTATTATAATTAAAACTTTAGGAATCAAACAAAAATTAAATGCATATATTTTAAAGATATAAATTATAATTACTCTTTAAAAAACTTGTGATCTGCCTGGTCCCGCTCTCATCCATCACTGTTGGTTGCTGTATGGTCCTCCATCAAGCCATCCAGGTGGCCGACTGTAATAGGATAATCCCTCACGGGTTCCACCAGATCAAAATAATCGATGAATCGTCTTCGTCTCATTATCCGTTGACTAATCCAGGACCCCCCACGGCTCACATTAGCAAATAATTAGGGTCCATATAATCCCCAATATGGTTCTCGGACTCATCACCACTTTCTCAAATATAGTTAAACCCGGCTGTTATGAACAGATTCAAGTCCGCCCCAACTTCATTCTCTCTCTCTCTCTCCATATTCTTCTTCCTCTGCAACTGCAAGGACGTACTTTTGTTCTGGCTCTGAGACGACTGAGAGTACTATCAAACCTTCAAATTCCAAAAAATAACTCCACAAAACTCTACAATCTACTTTTTAGTCCTCTCTTCGCAACTGATTATGCCTATGCCATTTGCTATACATTAGCTTTCTGTTTGTTGTTTCTGACTTTTGTGTTTGTGAAGCTGCTCTATGATGGACGGAGGAGGAGAGTACAATCCACGAACTGTCGAAGAAGTTTTTAGGGATTTTAAGGGCCGACGAGCTGGTTTGATCAAGGCTCTCACCACAGGTTTTGTTTTGTTTGTTTTTCTCTTTTTTCTTTCTTGATTCCTTAGATGATTTCTGACAACGTTTCTGTTGTTTCTTTTCCTGTTTGTTTGTTTGTTTGTTTGTTGTTGTTGTTGCAGAGGTTGAACAATTTTATCAGCAATGTGACCCTGGTTAGGATTTTCCCCTTTCTTTCTCTTTACATAATCGCATATGTATATGTCTATTTATTTATTTGTTTTTTTAGTATAGTTCAATGTGTTTGAATGTCATTTATTTGCTGCAATTTTTTTTTTCCTCGCTGTTTTGACCATCCGGATAAGGTTTGTGAAGCTTACTTATTCATGTATATTTATGTTTTTGTGTGTGTGTATGTCTGAATTTTAAAAAAATGATTTCTTGATCTACTAATTTTATAGTTTCTGCATTGTACCATGGCAGTGTCTTTTCTCAATGTTATTTGTGATTGTTGTTTTGGGTTCATTTTTAGTGCGTGGTTGTAGCATATAATGTATGTATGAGAGAAGCTAAAATGTAATTCGTCACCTCTCCGTTGTATGGGGACACACGAATATGGTGTGTTTGGGGGTGGGTGAACTGTTTCTAGGTTGCTTTTGGCAGCCTAGATTGGGATCACTTGTGTTGATGTATACTGTTTTTGTCACACCCTCGCCCTGGATCACGTAGGGTGGGCAATGGACCGGCCACCAAGGCCTTAATCAATCATCATTGTTCACAAATATCTTTATAAATGAAAATACATTTATAACTCAAAAACCTACACACACTCAAATACATTTACTATCTGTAGTCCGATAGCTAGGCCCCATCTCATGTTTGTTACTACAAATTTGATAATTGGTCTTGTCGCTTGTCATCACTAGTCTGATGACTGACTCCTATGTGCATATCCAAATATCGGTCACACCAGTATTCATTCAATCTCGTTACCATTCAGACTTGTTAACCTAGGTCCTGTCTCATAAAAACATGCTTTTAACGCACACGCCAAAAACATCATTTTTCCCAACACAATTTTTCCTTTTGTCACCAAAACACGTTTAAATAATGACATAAAGTCATCCCACTTTTTTTTCAAAATCTAAATGAATAATCACTTACAATTATAAAACTTTTAATTCCAACCCTAAACATTACCATATATAGCATATATATGAAATATCCTCATATGCACTCACAAGTTTAATATAGAAAATCCTTCCAAAAGAAGTAGTAAACTGCTCACCTTGATTTTTGAAATCTAATTCAAAATCCTCATTCCAAATCTCAATGCAATCACCACCCAATCTAAAATAATATATAACAATCAATCTCTATTCCTAATTTCGTAATTTTATGTTTTATATTTAATTTTTTGTACTTCCTACCCATTAATGTGTACTTTATATATCCTAAAAATAACGTTTTTAATATGAAGTAATAGAGTATGGAAGTATTTTGGGCAGTTTAGAAAAAAGTTTCTAAAGTTCTGGGGTTAAACCATAATTTTTGAATCTTTTGAGGTCAAAGTGTAATTTTATTGAAAAACGATATTTCTTTTTGGGGCTGCCATAAATTTTTCAAAATTCTATTCTTCCAACTTACTAAGTAAAAATGTGGTTATAATTTAAATTTAAAGAATATGGGGGTCAAAATGAAGTTATTTGAAAACAAAGGGGTGGTTTCTATAATTTTTGAATTTGATCTTCTTCGACCCACGTGAATTCCATTTTCAAGCTTATGCAACTTTAATAAATCTCATCTCTTTTCTTTTCCTTTTTTTGTTTTTAACTTATTGGTTAAACAACTACAAACTTAAATTTAATCTAATAACTTCAATAATTAAANCCTCGCTGTTTTGACCATCCGGATAAGGTTTGTGAAGCTTACTTATTCATGTATATTTATGTTTTTGTGTGTGTGTATGTCTGAATTTTAAAAAAATGATTTCTTGATCTACTAATTTTATAGTTTCTGCATTGTACCATGGCAGTGTCTTTTCTCAATGTTATTTGTGATTGTTGTTTTGGGTTCATTTTTAGTGCGTGGTTGTAGCATATAATGTATGTATGAGAGAAGCTAAAATGTAATTCGTCACCTCTCCGTTGTATGGGGACACACGAATATGGTGTGTTTGGGGGTGGGTGAACTGTTTCTAGGTTGCTTTTGGCAGCCTAGATTGGGATCACTTGTGTTGATGTATACTGTTTTTGTCACACCCTCGCCCTGGATCACGTAGGGTGGGCAATGGACCGGCCACCAAGGCCTTAATCAATCATCATTGTTCACAAATATCTTTATAAATGAAAATACATTTATAACTCAAAAACCTACACACACTCAAATACATTTACTATCTGTAGTCCGATAGCTAGGCCCCATCTCATGTTTGTTACTACAAATTTGATAATTGGTCTTGTCGCTTGTCATCACTAGTCTGATGACTGACTCCTATGTGCATATCCAAATATCGGTCACACCAGTATTCATTCAATCTCGTTACCATTCAGACTTGTTAACCTAGGTCCTGTCTCATAAAAACATGCTTTTAACGCACACGCCAAAAACATCATTTTTCCCAACACAATTTTTCCTTTTGTCACCAAAACACGTTTAAATAATGACATAAAGTCATCCCACTTTTTTTTCAAAATCTAAATGAATAATCACTTACAATTATAAAACTTTTAATTCCAACCCTAAACATTACCATATATAGCATATATATGAAATATCCTCATATGCACTCACAAGTTTAATATAGAAAATCCTTCCAAAAGAAGTAGTAAACTGCTCACCTTGATTTTTGAAATCTAATTCAAAATCCTCATTCCAAATCTCAATGCAATCACCACCCAATCTAAAATAATATATAACAATCAATCTCTATTCCTAATTTCGTAATTTTATGTTTTATATTTAATTTTTTGTACTTCCTACCCATTAATGTGTACTTTATATATCCTAAAAATAACGTTTTTAATATGAAGTAATAGAGTATGGAAGTATTTTGGGCAGTTTAGAAAAAAGTTTCTAAAGTTCTGGGGTTAAACCATAATTTTTGAATCTTTTGAGGTCAAAGTGTAATTTTATTGAAAAACGATATTTCTTTTTGGGGCTGCCATAAATTTTTCAAAATTCTATTCTTCCAACTTACTAAGTAAAAATGTGGTTATAATTTAAATTTAAAGAATATGGGGGTCAAAATGAAGTTATTTGAAAACAAAGGGGTGGTTTCTATAATTTTTGAATTTGATCTTCTTCGACCCACGTGAATTCCATTTTCAAGCTTATGCAACTTTAATAAATCTCATCTCTTTTCTTTTCCTTTTTTTGTTTTTAACTTATTGGTTAAACAACTACAAACTTAAATTTAATCTAATAACTTCAATAATTAAAAAAAAGAAGTACTATGAGACCCATTTATATATTTATTTTTATTCCTTAATATATATATATATTGTGTATATACATATAATAAATCTAACACCATGTGATGGAATAAACTATAAAACCCATAAAATAAGTAATAAATCCATACCTTTAATGGACCCAACCCACTTGTCTTTTTTCTCCTTGTTCCTTCTCTCTCTCTCTCTCTCTCTCTGTGTTTACTGGACAGGCCCTTCCCCAAGTTTTCTCACCAAAATATTCTATCAAATGTAAGTGTAAATGTATATATATGAAGGGCTTGACGTCCACTTTCATATAGGTTAGGCAAGGGTCAATTTTATATAATTACATTTACTTCCCTTTAGATTTCAAGAATTATACCTCCATCATTAATGGCATTACTCTTTCTTTTTCTTTTTCTTTTTCTTTTTTCCTTTTAGGAGATCACCAATTATGAAATTTCTAAAAGAGGCTCTCTAGTCACATTTTTAACCATTACCCCACCTACACAAACCCTAAATTCTGTCCATTTTGGGCTATAAGCTTTTAATTACACTCATAATTTCCGTACTCAATTCTTTAACCAAATAAGAAAGTCCAATTCTCTCCATCTAATTCATTCACTTTTGACAATTATTTGTTCACATTTTATTTCTAAATAAATAATTAAATGACAAAATTCATACCTTATTTATGTATTACAGTATTACTATCCCTTTTTTTTTTGTAGTGTATGGATTTTTATAGCTATCAAGATGTCAATTTGTGCTAATTTTGCATTCTGGCTCCTTTTTCCTAGTGCATCTGTAAAATATTATATTGTTTAGGCAATTGTAGGAATAACGATTGATATTTCTCTTTTCTAATTTATAGAGGAGTACATGACGTCAATACACAAATCGACTAGGGATGAATAGGTCCTTTCACTCATTGCAGAATATTTTCCCAATGAGGCCTAATTACCTTAATTACAAGTTGATTAATTGGTTTTAGTTCAATTTATCCCTTAATCAAATGCACGAACCTTTAGGTGAATAGACGGATGCAGCACTGCAGAATTCAACAATCTAGCACAACTCAAATCCACCGTCCTTATCCCTCCAACGCTCTTCCGCCAATTTCAAATGGCCACAAAATAATAATATGATAAATCAATCAAACAAACATATCATCAAACACGTGGTGTGGGAAAAAATGTAAATGTGTGTGTAAAGTAAAGAAATCAACAACGCTTACAACACAAGACACTTTAACGACTAAGGAGATCCCTTGTTAATATAACTAAAAGTGGGTGAAATCGTCTCTTAAGCAAGATCGGTTTGTCATTAACCACAATGATGACACCAGTGTCAACAAAGAACGTTTAGGATGAGTGCTTTTACCAACGGGTGACATCAATCTTTTGAATTTGCCAAAAGAGGACCAACTGATAGGATTTCTGAATGAAAGATTCAATTTCTTTTATTCAACTTACTAAGGAAAAGGGAAGATCTCAGATAATGCATAAGTAATCAACTAATCATCGTTGTCATTGGATTGAGAAAATGTCGTCTTCTAATGCCGGAAAAACCACGGGACCGTAGTCCACCTAACCTAATCCACTATACTCAAGGTCGACTCAAAGTCGATTACAAGGTCGACGTCCTATACCTCAACCGAATCCATAGATACTAGATTGAAAAGTTGGTTAGAATATTCTTTTTTAGAAGAACCCAATTTCCACATGCAATTTTACATTGTTGGTATTGGAAGGAAATAAGTGTGGTTCATGTAGTATGTATAGCAATAAACATACATCGTGCTTGTTTTATATTTTATTTCAAGCTGTCTTTGTTTTTGCATATGCCAGCCATAAATACCAACTAGATATTTGGTCCTTTCCACCCCCCAATTCATTACTAATATTTTCCTTCAATTTCACTAGTTTAAAATTGAGCATATTTTATTATACAGAGAAGGAGAACTTGTGCTTGTATGGATTTCCCAGTGAGCAGTGGGAGGTCAATTTACCTGCTGAAGAAGTGCCTCCAGAACTCCCAGAGCCTGCTTTGGGCATTAACTTTGCTAGAGATGGGATGCAAGAGAAGGACTGGCTATCTTTAGTTGCTGTCCATAGTGATGCATGGTTGCTTGCTGTGTCCTTCTATTTTGGTTCCAGATTCGGGTTTGATAAAGCTGACAGGTATTTCTTGTAGATACTTTACTCTTAAGCAATGGTCAGCTTAGAAGATTTGGCAGGTTCCTGAAAAGAGGAAGAGGGAGGGGAGTCGGGGAGGTTGTATGAGAATTTTGGTGATATTGTCCTCTGCTTATTCAGTGATTTGACTTTGGAAATTCTGCACTATGATGGTCTTGATTTTTTTGTTAATGATGTACTTAGAACTTAATGATAGTATGTTCTGAATGATTTCTGTTAGTGAGGAGTTTCTGCATGGGTCTTTTTTCATATCAATGAGAGGCAGTGATAAATTGCTGATCGATTGGGTTGAAACAGATCTCTGTAAACCAATGGAGCAATTTATCTCTTGAAAAAATATTGTCACCCTGTGGTCTCTACTTGAATCTTCCAGCCTTCATAAGATGCCTTCTTTTAACTTCTGTATTGCGGTAAGCTCTGAGACAGTTTATTGCCACCCAATTTACTACTAAGATCTCGACCCTTCCTCTACTTGGGCAATCAACAGAAAAATTTGTTGCTTAGGCCATTTGAGGTTTTCACTAAACAATTTTGAAATTTTCATTGTCTTGTTAATTGAGTTTCAAACTACCTCATAAATTATTGCAATTACATCTTTGAGATTGGGGAATGACACAGCCAGTGAGGCTTTAACCAAGGTGCGTCAGTTGCTGGTTGAAAATTGTTTCCATTGCCTCTGTCCATTTTTCTGCTGCTTTTCTGGACTGAGCCTCATAACCATACTCTGTGTGGTATAGGTTGAGTGGCATGTTTTGTACCTAGCTATGTTGCCTAAGTGTCATTTGTCTGTCAAGTCTTCCCAGCAATAGGTGGAGTACCTTACTTGGCCAAAATAGAACTCATTTAGAATAATATTTGGTTAGTTTTGTGATTCTGTTCATTTATGCCTCATCTAACTGCACTTGTACTTGTGTATTGCGGTATGGGTATTAAAGCTCAGAATACAGATATGTTATAATATGATTTTGTAGAACACACCTTGCAATGTGGGGAAAAAAAACTGGTGGTTGATTTCAGTCCTTCAGCAGTGTTAGAAAATTCGTTCATTGTTATGAATGTAGATGGTCTGAGGGTAGAATTTTAGTTGAAGTTTCTAATATTCTCTTGTTCACAATATGAGGCTTTGATGATGCATGACCATACGAGAGAATGGGTTACAATTTTGAGGAATATGAAGTTCTGGTCATTGCTAACTAAGTTGTGCGTTCTAGTTTGGCAGTGCGTGGGATGCTGTTAAGCATTGCTTAGAGAAAATTAATCATGTGAGATACTCTAGGAGTATACATTTCAAAATTTAGAGAAGGCTGCCGTTAACTAGTTGTGTCGGTCTGGCGGCTTTCACTTATGTTAGCCAACCATACTTAAATATGGTTTTATCAGAGTTATTTTACCACCAATAGAATTGCTTAGAGATGGTCATTGCTAACTAAGTTGTGCATTCTAGTTTGGCAGTGTGTGGGATGCTGTTAAGCATTGCTTAGAGAAAATTAATCATGTGAGATACTCTAGGAGTATACATTTCAAAATTTAGAGAAGGCTGCCGTTAACTAGTTGTGTCGGTCTGGCGGCTTTCACTTATGTTAGCCAACCATACTTAAATATGGTTTTATCAGAGTTATTTTACCACCAATAGAATTGCTTAGAGATGGTCATTGCTAACTAAGTTGTGCATTCTAGTTTGGCAGTGTGTGGGATGCTGTTAAGCATTGCTTAGAGAAAATTAATCATGTGAGATACTCTAGGAGTATACATTTCAAAATTTAGAGAAGGCTGCCGTTAACTAGTTGTGTCGGTCTGGCGGCTTTCACTTATGTTAGCCAACCATACTTAAATATGGTTTTATCAGAGTTATTTTACCACCAATAATAATGATATAGAAACAATGACGAGGCTTTTGATGTGTCCTGATTATTTTCAAAAAAAGGAAGAAATATACTAAAAAGTAGATCCTTCATCGGTGACTATTTTGGATCATTGTAAAAAATTTAGGCAGTAATTTTTCACTTCAATTTCTTTCCAAGCAGGAACTCTAACCACACCATATTTAGTGGATTGGGTAAGAAATTTAGCATCTGGCTATTTAACTTGCAGTTAGGTATGCATATCAGATGCAGGCATGCTCTAGATGTTGGATCATCAAATTTCCAAATTCAAGGATGCTGGAGTATGGCTAGATGGCAGCAATGTTGGTATTTTGTTACATTTGTTTCCTAGACTAATTGGTGAATGAATGGGTAATACTCCATTCACCATGAATCAACCACTCATTTTGAAGAAGCAACCATATAATGGAAGCTATGTAATGAAATTTAGCACAGTTTGACAATGGACCTCGTGTAGGTACTCTAAATACATAATTGACACACACAAACACACACTTTTCTATGTTTGTCATGGGTTAAAGTTCACTTGAAACAAGTCTTGGCCATGTAAACTGAAAGAGCATTCCTTACAGTGCTTTTCTCTCCATTGTGTTTGGTTTTATTAATTTCTTCTGATTCATGTGATTTCATCCCTCTGTTTAAACGTATGTATTAGTCATGATTCATAGCTAATAATTAACCATTTGAAAAGGTGGTTCATTTAAAATAAAGTTGATGAATTTAATGGTGATACAAGTCACACAAATATCTTTGTTAGTTGGACCAGTTGCTGGTGCCGGTATTATGGCCATGGAATCAGTTGTATCATCATTAGGGATTAGAAAATGAAAATGAATCCATTTTAGATGTTTAAGTAAGTTCTGGGCCTGCAATACATCAGATGGTCAGACTCAATCATTTCTTAGCTTGGGTGTTTGATTATAATTCTCATATAACATCATATCTTTTGTGATGCAGGAAGCGGCTTTTCAATATGATAAATGATCTCCCTACTATATTCGAAGTTGTGAATGGTGCTGCAAAGAAACAACAGAAGGAGAAATCTTTGGTTCCAAATAATAGTAACAACAAATTGAAGTCAAACTCTAAAGTGGTAAAGAAGCTTTTGTGCACAATATTTCAGTTTGGCAATTATTTATTTATTTTGACATCAAAATGATTCCGTTTCATAAGTGAATCTCATATTCTCATAGCCCTATGCATTAGGCTTCGTTACATTGTTAATGTTGTGGTATTAAGAAATGATATGGTCTTGCCCTTTCGGAATTGCATGCAACATTGTAATATCTGAAATAAATTGCCTGGACGTAGACTTTATTTTGAGATATTCATCACATGTTTTTATGCCCTGGGCCCCTGGCACAACCTTATGGCATCCTTGATGTGCATTTGCCCTAATTAATTGCTTGTAAGTGTAATTTAGTCGCTTGGATCATTGTAGCTATTTATTCTTGGCACAGTTTTTTCTTTTGATTGCTTTTCATCTTTTGGTGACAAAAGCAGCGGGGATCTGAATCCCAGGGTAAATATTCGAAGTCCCAACCAAAAGATGAAGAAGAGGGCTTGGAGGAGGAAGATGAGGAGGAGCATGGGGAGACCTTGTGTGGGGCATGTGGTGAGAATTATGCATCTGATGAATTCTGGATATGTTGTGATATATGTGAGAAGTGGTTCCATGGCAAGTGCGTGAAGATTACACCGGCTAGGGCTGAACATATCAAGCAGTACAAGTGCCCGTCGTGCAGCAACAAGAGAGCTCGCACCTGATATAGTTTAAGGTTTTTCTAGCCTTGTTATTTTGTTAGACTCCACTAACTGTCTTGTCAGTCTTGTTCTTTGTTCATGTGCTATATTAGCAGTGCTTTGTTAATGTGTATTTAGTTTCGAGGTTATCTGTATTCAGTACAGTAACATTATTTGTAGTTTGGCAGAAATATCTCTCTATTTTATTTGCAACAATTAACTGTCACTTTCTTTGGAATTTCGAATACAGTAGAAATTTTAATCTCTTCATCATAACGAGGTGTTGGACTGCTGCTCCTTTTTAAGTTCTTGATTCACCCGAATCCCTATTTCTTACACTTGCATATTAGTCATGGCTAGTGTTGAATCCAGGTGATTATCCAGTTTTAGTCACACGTAAGGCTCTGGTCCCAAACACTTGAGGGTGCTTTGCACAAAATGATTATCCTCATATTCATCTCATATTCCAACGGGTGTTAGCATCATACTTGATCACTTTGGTTGTGATGCTTAGAATGCCTCATAACTGTCACTCTTGTGGGGTTGAATACCGTTGGGTTTATGGACCTGTAGGCGTATTCATAGCAGGCGATCAACGATTTCAGTTTGTTGAACAGTTGTTGGTCTTTTCACATTTTTTTTGATTCCTGTTAGCTTGAACTTTTTTCCATGTTAATGTGCCTTGCAATCAAATAAGTTTGTTTTTTATTTTTCAATCCTCAGGACTGGGTAACTTACATGACTGTTGTGAGTGGGGATGTTTTTCTTTACTATGTTGTACATCCTGTTATCTCTTCTTTTTTCCTTCCCTCAATTATTTACTTGTTTTTTTTTTTTTGGAGAGCATGCACACCTTAAACACAAATAACGCAGAGTTGAGAAAACATTGTACACATAAAATGGGATTCCCTTCAACGTTGTGGGTATAGTTTCTTGTTTTTCTTTTGATAATTTGGAGGAGTGCTACAGCTGAATGTTTACTCATAGTTTCTGGTCCACTTGGTAAAATGCAACCCACTATATTCATAAAGAGAAGAGAGATTGTATGATGAAAACACTTCAGTGGAGTGATCCCACCAAGGAGATATTGAAAGCTAGACCAGCCTCACTATTGCTGCTGGATTGATGGTGATTGGTGAATGTTAGTCACTGCATGCCCTTACTGAATATTCGCAGGATCCCTCTTCTCCCTGCAGTACGTACGATTGACTGGTCCAGAGAGTTTAGTACACGAGATGCCAGGGGAAACTGAAGTGATTAAGTCCTGCAAGGGAAGCTGCATTTGCTAATCAATGATATCATTTTTGGTTTTCATTTCCTACTCGTTGTAGATGTAGATTGCATGAGAATACCTCTGCTGTGGAATTTAGAGAGGATTTCAAAGTTATTAGAAAATATTCAACCTTAGACGAGCCCGCAAGTTTGTTCCCACAACCCCTAATAATCCCAATCTTAGATCAAAGGTCCAAAGCGACTGTAATCCAAAACCCTAATCCTAACAAAGGTCTAAAGCGACTGTTACCCAAAACATTAGTCGATGTAAACCTATCCTCCCTGCACCGGGTACTCCAAAAAGTTATCATTTTACACACCTATTATCACACTACACGGCAAATCGGCTTATGATTCTGACAACATTGGATAAGATTTATGAAACTTTCTCCCATGTAAAGAAATTATTTCTATGGCTCGTTCAAATTAGAATGAAAGTCTTAATTATTAAAATATAAAGAGACACATTTGTTTACAACCTTGTGGATAAATGAATGGGTAGGCCATCTAATGGGCAACATTTAGGACAAACCTTTTACTTTTCTAATTGTTGATTTGTTTCCAAATTGGAGTCAATGTAGTGGCATACAAAAATAGAGATAGTGGGCCCAAAAGAAATCTAAAATTCAAAAGATTCTCCTCACTCCCACATCCATCTACATGGCAGGCAGGTAATCCCACCAATTGATTATAGATAAACACACTATATACCAGTGCAAGGTTAGATCAAGTTGCTACACAAGACAAAGGAATCCATAAAATTCAATTGCTAACTGGTAAAAAGGGACCCAAACCAAAATATTTTTGGGACCATATCTCTCCAGCAGCAGTAGTGGATAACACACTTCCAGATAAGATAATGCAGGGATAAGGTAAGTGCGAGCAAAAAAACAATATATATATATATTAACTATGAACACAGAGAGAGAGAGGTGTTAAAGGAAAACAAAACTTTTAACAAGCATTAAGAGGAATATATGAATCTTCTTTTCCAACCTGTTATTTTGCCGTGTATTCAAGATGTCAAACCCTCTTGATTCTTCGCAGAAAGTCGTTTCAGTAACTCATAAGTAGTGATCATTGTAGTTGCAGACATGGACATTGAAGCCCAACGAGGTCCCAATCCCCGGTAACAAGCCGTCCATCCACCTTCCCTGATCAAATTCCTCACTGTTTGCCCTATAGTTGGCCCTTTCCGGCCATTCTCATCACCATCCAAAACTTGTAATCTGGTCTTAATTGTATCCAATGGCATTGTAATTAAAGCCGAAACACCACCAGCCATGGCTGCACTAACACCCTGAACTGCCATTACAGTTTTTGGATCAGGTCTCAAAGCATTCACACCATTCTCATTACTCTCCTCATCTTTCTTACAAATATAACCTCCAATTCCACCCCAAACAAGACGTTGAGCAACAGAATATGACGCCCACCAAACTGCATTGGACGGAGCATACGTCAATATTGAAATTCCAAAACCTCTATACAGACCTCTCACCCCATCCGTATTTAGAATTTTCCTAAATGCATCAATCCCACCAAGATATTTACATGACGACACACTAGGAATTTTTGGATTAGCACCACCTCCTTGAACCATAAGCCGTTGGCTAACCACATCAATTGGAGTCCACACAAGCTGAGCCGCCATTGCAGCACTCAACCCAGCTGCTGCATTGGCAATAGCAGCCGCGGTTGGCTCCGGAAACCCCAATCTAATCGTGGCAGTCCCCACATTGCTTTTCGTCACCTCAAGGGCAGTCATATACAATGCTCGAGCTGGGATAGTTCCCATCAATGAAGTCCCAAATCCTCTGTAAAGACCACGGAAACCCTCGTGCCTAACAATCGAAAACGCGGTTTTGATACAAGAGATCTGAGATTGAGCCACTTGTTGCCGGGTTTTTAACACCACAACAGGGTATAAAGTTGCTGAAACACCCGAAAACAATGCGGCACCGAGGAAGAAAAACTTGGATTTATCGAGCATGTGCCAATCTATATCGGCTGGTATATGTATCTCATCCGCCGATTCTTCCTCGGCAGTACTCAAATTCATCTTCGCCACTTTCCAGTTGATTCAGAACCCTTTTATATTGTTCCACCCAACCTCACCTTCATGACTCCATCTATGTCTATATACAAACCCAACTTTACAAAATTGAAACCCTAACCCTAATATTGGACCTGTGCAATCGCGGGACCATCAGACAAAAGGACAAAAACGTTGAACAAAATTTACAGGATTAGTTCAAAAAGAAGAGTTTGGGGGTGGTTTTTTTCTTCTTGCGTAGCCATATTTTGGATCGAACGTGGATTACAGCAAATGGATCTAACATCGCTCGATTGTTCTTACTGGAGAATCTGAGCTCGAAGCCTTCATTTTCTTCCTCGATCGATCGTTTCGATCTCGGAGCGGCGATCGCAGAAGGTAGCAGTAGAGATCAGATTTTGCAGGAACAATCAAATTACACAGTTCTACACATATATACGGCGATGGAGAGAGAATCGGTATATACTATTTGGGGAGGGGAGAGGGAGACGGTAGTGAGAGAGCGAGCTCCCAAAATGGAAGAAATGGCTATTTTTTAGGTAAAGGGGGAAGAAGAGGATAAAGTGAGGAGAGAGAATATTTACTCGGGAGAGAAAGAGAGGGGGGGGGAGAGAGAGACAATGGAGGAACGGACACGTGTCGATTACAGGTCAGCAAGGGTTTGTTATTGGGTTTTTTTGGGATAATTACACCCACACCCCCTAAAATTTATCATTTAATCACTAAAACCCCTGATATTTAAAATATTATACACATATCTCTTAATGTTTGTACGCGAGTAATACTTATACCCCTGATGTAAATATATTTGTTAATAAATTATCAATAATACTAGATTGACCAAAATTTGGGACTAAATTTAGAGCTCAAATGACATGACAGTTGACTTGGGCTTCTTTGATTGATATCATGTCATTTGGGTCCTAATAAAAACTTCAAATAATCAACTGACATGTTATTTGGACTCTAAATTTGATCTCAAATTTTGGTCAGTGTAGCATTACTCATAAATTATACTTAAACTCCTCTGAAGTTTGTAGGTATATAATATTTTAACTCTTTAAGTTTAAAATATTATACTTATATCAAAAATACTTCAATTAAAGATAAAATATCAAATATTTTAAATTTTATAATTAAAATTCATGTTCTATTGTGTCATTTATTAAAATAAAATCAAAAATAAAAATTTATTTTTTTCTTAAAAAATCGTAATTAGTATACAAATTGTCTCTTGGAATTTAATTTGGTCATTTAAACCGTTAAATTAAAATACCAAACTATGTCCATTACAGCTTGCCCCTTTATTTATTTTTTTAGTTTTATTTTAATAGATAGTATAATTATATACTAACTATAATTTTTTTTTAAAAAACTTAGATTTATATTTTTAATTTTATTTTAATAAATGACATAATAAAATATAAATTTTGGTTATAAAATTCACGTTTTATTATGAATGACTTAGATCCCTTATTTGATTGTTTAATTTTATTCTAAAAGATAGTATAATTGTATACTAATTATGATTTTTAAGAAAAATTAAAATTTTTATTTCAATAAATAATACAATGGAACATGAATTTTAATTGTAAAATTTAAAATATTTGATATTTTATCATTGATTGAAATATTTTTGGTCTAAGTATAATTTTTTAAACTTAAAATGTCTAAATATTATATATTTACAAACTTAAGAAAAGTTTACGTGTATATAAATTTTAGGGGGTCTGTATATAATATTTTAAATATTAAAGAGTTTGAATGATTAAAGAACAAACTTTAAGTGGTCTGAACCTAATTCTCCTTTTTTTTTGGTTAAGCGTGTCTTGGCGACTCAAGGCGGGTTGTCCGAGCCAGACATTGACACGTTGATGACGTGTCATCGCTATCCGCGAGCTCAAATTGGGTGTGAGTGCACCTCATAGAACTGCACACGTTGATCCAATAATCTTTTGCCATTTGACCCGACAAAACTATGAATCACAGTGGACCCGCTTCAAAAATATATCCTGTTAGTGAGAGAAATTTTAATTCCCGTTTTAATCTCGTAAGTAAATTTTGATCTCCATCTCCGTTATCATCTTCACTCATAATAATTAATTTTTATGATTTTAAAAAAAATTATAAAATTTCACAAATAAATTTACGAAAAGAATAAAAACTCATTATATAAAAAATTGATCAAACATAAAAACTCACAAAAATAATATGTATAACAAATTTGTGTTTCACATAATTATTTTATTTGTTTTATCTATATATATATATATATATATATATATATATATATATTACGTATTTAGCAGGACATAGATGAGTTCCAGTTCATTCTCGTCTTCATTCTCTTATATTCTCGTATATGTCTACCATTCAATACATATAATTCATTCTTGGTCCAAATGAAATGAGTTTAAACTAATACCTATTTTTTTTCAATCCATTATCATTCATAGAGAGAACTTTTTCACTAGAATTATCCAAATCCGATTAAGGGTTGATTGTGCTAATTTTTATCATTGCAAATATAATGGATCAAATTTCATTCTCTTTACAAAGTACTCTCGTAGACAAACTTCAAACTCAAATTTAAATTGAAAGTAAGATTAAATTTGATCGTAAAAGATTTAATTTTTCGTTGATCTAAGTAAAAATTTAAAATTTTCCATTTCAAGTAAGATAAAATTTGACCGTTAAAGATTTAGATCTTCATTGATCTGAGTAAAATTTTGAATTTTTTTCATATAGGGAGCAAAATTGTGTACTTCTTAGTCAACCTAGAGGAGGGCTTGAACGAGAGGTGCAATAACCTCGTCTCACCCTTTGATTGCACTTTTGGTAAAGTGGGGTTCTCTCATCTTTATGAAAAGATATGAAAAATATCAGGATTCCCTCGTAACAACTCGCATACAATCTTTCAACAATACCAGTTAGGTAGGTGTAGAGGAGTTTTTGCCTAGTCTCTAAGTGGGGATGCTATACAAAATGAGTTCATTTCATCATAGTGTCCAACAATACCACTTAATTATGCTTCAGAAATCCTTCTCTCCCATTACTTCCCTCATTCTATATTAAACAGTAGACAAAAATCAGAACAAATACATGATACATTAATAGATGTTCAACATAAAGTATTTGTTAATGTTTATCAATGAAAAAAGAAAAAAATATTCATTAAGAATTACCAGATCTGTATTACAAACTAATTAAAGGAGACAAACTACACAATAGTAGTCTTATACTAGGGTAAAATATACTAACATAAATGACTAATCTACCTCTAATGCTAATTTACTAGATTACTCTAACACCCCCCTCAAACTCACGATGTGATAGTATCAAACATCAAGAGTTTGTCAAGGAGAAAACGAAAGCGTGTGATAGTGTGGGATTTGATGAAGAAATTTGCCAACTGAATAATAGTAGGAAGATATGGGAGAGAGATCGTGCCGAACTGAAAATGTTTGGTGCGCTCATGAAACACTGAATTGTAAACAATCTGGATAGTATTGATGTTATCACAATACATAAGAGTAGGAGTAGTCAAGAAAATGTCAAGATCAGCAAATAACCAACGCAACAAAATTATCTCTGCTCTGATAGATACCATAACATGATACTCAGCTTCAGCAGAAGAACGAGCTACAACAGTTTGTTTCTTGTTTTTTCAGAAAATNCAAATCCTTCTCTCCCATTACTTCCCTCATTCTATATTAAACAGTAGACACAAATCAGAACAAATACATGATACATTAATAGATGTTCAACATAAAGTATTTGTTAATGTTTATCAATGAAAAAGGAAAAAAATATTCATTAAGAATTACCAGATCTGTATTACAAACTAATTAAAGGAGACAAACTACACAATAGTAGTCTTATACTAGGGTAAAATATACTAACATAAATGACTAATCTACCTCTAATGCTAATTTACTAGATTACTCTAACACCCCCCTCAAACTCACGATGTGATAGTATCAAACATCAAGAGTTTGTCAAGGAGAAAACGAAAGCGTGTGATAGTGTGGGATTTGATGAAGAAATTTGCCAACTGAATAATAGTAGGAAGATATGGGAGAGAGATCGTGCCCAACTGAAAATGTTTGGTGCGCTCATGAAACACTGAATTGTAAACAATCTGGGTAGTATTGATGTTATCACAATACATAAGAGTAGGAGTAGTCAAGAAAAGGTCAAGATCAGCAAATAACCAACGCAACAAAATTATCTCTGCTCTGATAGATACCATAACATGATACTCAGCTTCAGCAGAAGAACGAGCTACAACAGTTTGTTTCTTGTTTTTTCAGAAAATAAGAGAAATCACCAAGAAAGAGACAAAAACTAATGGTGGATTTGCGATCCATAGAGTCACCAGCCCAGTCCGCATCAGAGTAAACACGGAGCTCCAGAGATGAAGAAGAAGAAAATAATAAACTATGATATAATGTACCTTGTAGATATCCAAGAATTCGAAGAACAACAGACCAATAAAGTGTAGTAGGAGCATTAATAAACTGACTAACCACATGAACCGCATAAGAAATATCTGGACGAGTAATAGTAAGATACATCAAACTCCCAACAATAGTACGATATAAGATAGGATCAGACAGGAGAAAACCATCAGAGGAAGTATAACGAACATTAAGCTTCAAGGGTGTGTCAACAGTTTGAGTATCCGATAAGCAGGCTCCTTGAATAACATCTGAGACATATTTTGACTGAGAAATAAGATAACCCTTGAAAGAGGAAACAACCTCAATCCCTAAGAAATATCAAAGTGGATCCAAATCTTTCATCTCAAAATAATCCTGTAATTGAGTTTTTAACAGTTGAATTTTAGCATTGTCATCACCTGTAATAATCATGTTATCCATATAAAGTTACAGAAGAATGAAACCAGAAAAAGTGGATCCAAGAAAGAGAGTAAAATCATGATTACTAGCACAGAAGCCTAAGTCACATATGACTAAAGAAAATTTTACAAACCATACCCTCGAGGCCTGTTTAAGACTATATAAAGTCTTGTGGACATCTATACTAAGGAAGTTTGCATAGCAGGCTACCTTTTCTGCAAGAAAGTTCGACATCTGGTTAAGGGATCATGACTTCTTTATTTGCACACATGACCAGGACTACAAGGCAATCCAAGAGGAGTCATATAGACTTCTTCAGATAAATCACCATGAAGAAAAGTGTTTTTCACATCCATCTGAGATAGGCTCCATTGACGAAAAGCTACCACAACAATTATTGTGCGAATCGTGGCCATCTTAGCCACTGGAGCAAAGGTCTCATTGTAGTAAGCCCATACTCTTGAGCAAATTCCTTGGCCACTAATCTAGTTTTGTACTACAAAACCACCAGATTGAGTTTTGATTTTATAAACCCACTTCCAACCAATGGGGCGTTTACCAGGAGGTAAATGCACCAACTCCCAAGCTCAAGTATTATGTAGCACAGAAAGCTCATTATCTATAGCCTATTGCCAAAGAGGATCAAATACAGCCTCCTTATAGGAGGTTGGTTCAGACAGAGAATGTATAGAAGTCAGGAAA